TCCAGGACCAGCTGAGCTGGGGCTGGGGCTTGAACCTGAAGGGCCGGATCCTCAGGAGCAGACACCAGCTGAATCTGCTCTGGCTCCGGAGGTGATCGAGGACCCATTGCCTGCAGGTGCTCCACTCTCAGCCCTGTCAGGGGAAGGTGAGGTTACCTCTGGGTCCAGTAACCCTCCAGCCTCTCCTGAGCTGCAGAGGCTCAGGGCAGAGAGGCGGTGGAAACTAAGTTATTGCAGGAGGAGTGCTCGCCTCCAGGCCAGGAGAGGCGAGTCACCTGTGGACCAGGACCGCCCTATACCTCAGGGCAGATAAAAGCCAGCCAGCCCAGTCCCAGGTTGCAGGAGCAACGTTGTTGGTAACCTGTTCCTGCCGGCACCCTGTCCTGATCTTCTGCCAGTTCCTGACCACACCCAACTCCTTGCCTTGGACCCCGCTTCAGCCTTGACGGACAGCCTCCATACCACACCCTCGACCTCGGACTGGACTCGGACCACGCCGCACAGTAACCCCCCAGGACCAGCACATTTATTTTCTGATTCACAATTTTCCCGTATACCAGTCCCCACCTCTATTCAGGGTTGTATGCGGGAGCAGGGGCCCCCCGACTCAGCGGGCCAGCAGAAAGGGGGCATACAAAGGCCCCTTCCGGGTCTGGAGTGTCTTCCCAGTCTTTAGCTGGAACTTCTTCTGGGCCAGGTCATTCACCCATCACCTCTCTTCAGCTTCTCCTAGGTACCACGCTCCATGGTCCTGTTTCCGAGTCTTTTGCAGAGGACACCCTGCCTGTGCAGCCTGCCAGCGAAAACGTCTTTAGGCGGGAAACATCACCGTAAGAAACTTTCCAGAAAGCGGGCCAAAAAGAGTAGACACTTCCTCTTCATCAATGGGTATGTCCTCTCAGAGTTCTGGTGAGGAGATAGAGGCCTCTATTGGGGTTTTGGGAAATTGGCTTCAGGCCTCCCGAAGTAGGCCTGGAATCATAGAGCCCAAGTCTCATCAAGTCAGATATGGGACCACTCAGGAGTGCTTGGATGGTGTTGGTTCCGGACGTTAAAAGTCTCTACCAATACTGCAAGGGACATTATTCCTGGGTGTCACCTTTCTTCGAAAACTTGCTCCAGAATTTTGAATGGTCACTATGTGGACATATTCAAATTGGCCCCTCCACTTGTTAGTTCACCTGGGCAGGAGAAGGTGGTTTCTTCCACCAAGAGGTGTGCTGGTTCTTTTAAGGTAGAAAAAACTTTCTATCGCTGGCTGGATAGTTTTCAGGTTTTTGCTGGGGTGGTTACGGCATGTTATCTGAAGAGAGCCCTTCATTTAATAGTTTACCAGTCCATCATTCGTATGGCTTTTTTCTATGGCCGGAGAGGCCGCCACAATCTCCTACAATGAGAAATTTAAGCGAAGGGCTGCCAGGATCCCCATGCCCTGTTGGGATCGCAGGCACCTGGATGTATGGACCACTTATGTGGCCCCTCTAATTGAGAAGAAGACCCCAGAGCTGCAGAAGCCGAGGACCAGGGTTTTTAAATCAGCTCACTGATTATATTGCTGGGATTATAACAAAGGGTTTTGCCAATGCCAGTCTTGCAAGTTCCCTCATGTGTGTGAAAAATGCGAGGGGAATCAACATGGTTCTGCATGTTTTGGGGGAAGGTGGCCCTTTCGGGATGGAAGGGGGGGCTCTCAACAAACTTCAAAAGCTGCCCCTCCTCAGCCGGCCGCAGGGGCTTCTAAGTAGGGTCGACTTGTCTTTGGCTTATACGCCAATCTGGCTCCCCGAGCTTTTATATTGGCTGCAGTTTTACCCCAATCAGGAAACAGCTTCTTACCTGTGGGAAGGTTTTTCCCATGGTTTCAGGATTCTGGTAGCCACTTCCCCCATGGCACGTAATCCTGATAATCAGAAGTTGGTTAAGGAGATGCCAGAGGTGGCTCGAAAAAAATTTGAGAAGATTGCATTACGGTGTATGGCGGGACCTTTCAATGTTCCTCCTTTTCCCAGGCTGCATCTCTCCCATTGGGAATTGTGCCCAAGAAAGCCCCCGGGGAATTCCGCCTAACATAAATGACATCATCCCTTCGGAACTTTGTTCTGTAAAATCCGCCTCCCTTCATCAAGCGATCAAAACGATTAGGAAATTTGGGTCTGGTGCCTTGTTAGCTAAATGCGATATAGAATCGGCATTCCAGTTGTTACCAATCCATCCACAGGATTTCTGGTTGTTAGAGTTTCAGTTTGATGTGGCCTTTTACTTTGATAAGGCTATGCCTATGGGCTGCTCGGTAGCCTGTGCAGCCTTTGAGTGCTTTAGCACTTTTTTGGAATGGGCCTTGCTTTTTAAAACCGGCCTGGAAGGGATTACTCATTATCTTGATGATTTTTTTATTGGCCTCGGTGCATGACACTGGTAATTGTGTCATCCTAATGCAGGCATTTGCTTCCCTTACGGAAGAGTTGGGTGTCCCTTTGGCTGCAGCTAAGACCGAGAGCCTGTCCACTCAATTGATCTACCTGGGTATCCAATTAGATATTGTTGCGTGTACATCCCAACTGCCCGATGATAAAATAGTTAATTTGCAGAGGGTTATTGAGGAATTGCTTCCCTTAACCAAGGTAACTTTGAGGCAGCTCCCGTCTTTGTTGGGCCACCTAAATTTTGCTTGTAGAGTGGTAGTGCTTGGTCACCCATTTTGTGCCCACTTGGCCAGGCTTACGGCCAGCCTGCAGGCCCCGCATCATCGGGTTCGACTTTTTTTATTTTTTATTAATAAATATTTTATTAGATTTTCCGATAAAAAAAAACATTTTTACAAAATTATACATCCATTTTTAACTTAAACCCTTTTTTCCAGAACTTCCCTCAGCTTGTCTGATAATTTTCCGTTTATTTTTTATCCTCGTCTCACATTTCCCAATATTATATTGCACTCAAATACTCTTAATCACATCATATTTTTAAACAATATTTCTAACAGTAATTTCACAGAGCTTCTTGAAAGCCAACGAACGTTATTTGCTCATCACAGAAATTTTTGATATACTCTGTAAATTTCTTCCAGTCCTCGGAGAATCTCTGGTCACGTTGGTTCCTAATTCTCCCCGTCAATCTGTCCATTTCTGCGTATTCCATCAGTTTCATCCTCCATTCTTCTTTCGTGGGCATCTCTTCCTGTTTCCATTTCTGTGCCAGCAAAATTCTGGCTGCTGTTACTGCATACAAAACTAATTTCACATCTTTTTTACTAATTTCATTATCCAGTATTCCCAACAAGAGAGCTTCTGGTTTTTTAACAAAAGTATATTTCAGCATTTTCTTTAACTCATTATAGATCATCTCCCAGAAGCTTTTTACCTTCTTACATTCCCACCACATATGGTAAAATGTTCCTTCTGTCTCCTTACACTTCCAACATTTATTACACACTTTATACATTTTACCCAGTTTTACTGGTGTTATATACCATCTATATAACATCTTCATAACATTTTCCTTAATCGTTGTACAAGCTGTAAACTTTAACCCATCCTTCCATAATTTAGTCCATTTCTCAAATTCAATATTATATCCGAAATCTCTAGCCCAACTAATCATAACAGATTTAACCTCTTCGTCCACAGTATTCCATTCCAACAATATTTTATACATTTTAGATAAAATTTTCACTTCATTGTTTAAGATTTCTTGTTGAAATCTAGATTCTTTTCAGAATATCCCCTCTCTAAAACCTCTTTTTAAACATTTCAGTTAAATGAAAATAATGCAGCCAATCCTTAACATATTCTTTTACTTCTTCATATGGTTTCAATTTCCACTTATTTCCTTCCTTTTTTAATAGTTTCTCATATGTTATCCATCTCCCGCTCATATTTATCTTTTTAATACTCATAACCTCTAATGGTGATAACCAATGTGGAATCTTTGGTTCTAATACATTTTTATACCTATTCCAAACTCCAATCAAAGATCCTCTAAAGATGTGGTTCTCAAACCCTTTATGTACTTTTTTTATCATACCATAAATACGCATGCCAACCAAATCTATTATCATAACCTTCTAAATCCAATAATTCATTATTTTCTAACTTCATCCATTCTTTCAACCAACAAAGACATGACGCTTCATAATATAACCTCAAGTCTGGCAGGGCGAAACCTCCTCTTTCTCTTGCGTCAGTTAATATCTTAAATTTAATTCTTGGTTTCTTGCCCTGCCAAATATATCTTGATAATATTCTTTGCCATTCTTTAAATATTGTCACTCCTTTTATTATTGGTATTGTTTGAAATAAAAATAACATTTTTGGTAGCACATTCATCTTTATCGTTGCAATTCTTCCCCAAAATGAGAATTTCATTCTACCCCACACCTCCAGGTCCTTTTTTATCTTATTCCATACTGGGTTCGACTTTCAAGTGGAGTGAAGGCGAACCTTTGGATTTGGTTGAAATTCTTGAAAGAATACAATAGAGTTTCTTTGTGGCAGGATACTTTGAACCTTCACAATGACTTCCAGGTTCAGTCTGATGCGGCTGGTTCATGGCTGGTTCATTAGGGACCATCGGCTGTGGTGAGGACTGCAGGGCCTGCTCCCTTCCAGGGCCTTTTCCAACTGGCCCAGGGGGCGTGGCCCAGGCCCTCACTCTGCCAGCTACAAAGGGACTCCTGCTGCGGTGAGACCTTGGACCATCGGCTGTGGTGAGGACTGCAGGGCCTGCTCCCTTTCCAAGGCCTTTCCAACTGGCCCAGGCCCTTATCTGGAACAAATATTTGGGGAAATGCGGGAAGTTGATCTGCTATGCTTCCCTGTTCCAAGTGGTTAATGTGTTTTAAAATGCCCTCAAGCAGTTGGTGGCATTTTAAATTTCTTTTTTTCCTTTGTTGGGGGTGGGTGGGTAGGATGGATATTTGGTTGGGGATTAATTTTAGTATAATTGTTCTGTTTTTGTTTTTTTGCGTTTTATTGGTTGTGTATAGTTTGTGTTTTGTTTTTAAGGGGTGGGATCACGGCTGCCTGGGAGTGGGGCCCCAGCCAACACAATGGTTGGGACAAGTTCCATGGGCGGGGGAGCACTGGGACATCCGATCTCGGTGATCATGGGCAGGAGGAGTTACGCTAATGTCATTTACCGAGGAGGCAGGTTTAGTCGTTGTTTGAAGACTATCCCTGCCTCCGCGTCTGGCCTTGACTAGATGGATACTGGAATCAACAGGGGGAACCCACGTGACCGGAAGGTGTTGCTGTGTAGTGCCAGGTCAATGATGAATAAAACCACTGCCATCCATGACCTGATTGTGGATGGAGGATTTGCCCTGGCATGTGTGACAGAGACCTTGTGGGCCTGTCCTTGCCGCTGCTTGCCCACCAGGTTTCTCTTACACACAGCAACCCAGGTCATGTGGGCGGGGAGGGGGGTTGCAGTGATTTTTAGGAAGTCATTAGCTTGCATCAGGCATCCTACTGGGAAGACCCAGTTCTCTGAGTGCATGTTCTGGAAGTTGGGCAATAGGGGCAGTACAGGATTCCTTTTGGTGCACTGACCTCCCCGCTGCACCAAGGATTCCCTGTCCGAGCTGCTTCAGGTCGTGGCGGATGTTCTCCTGGAGACACCGAGTTTGGTTGCCCTAGGGTATTTTAACATCCATGCCGACACGACCTTACAAGGGGCCGCTCGGGACTTCGTGGAAAGCATGGCCTCCATGGGGCTGTCCCTGAATAAGTTTGGCCCAACTCATAGTCATGGACGTGTCTTAGACCTGGTGTTCACCTCTAGTGATGTGGGTGATCTGACACTAAGTAAAAGTGAAAGAAAAGAAGTGCCATGGTCAGATCATTTCCTGGTGCAACTGGACTTCTCCGCGACCCTTCCCCTCTGCAGGGAGGTGGGACCAATTCGGATGGTCTGCTCCCGCCGCTTAATGGATCCAAATGGTTTCCAGAGAGTGGTAGGGGATGCTTTATCCCATGTTGATGGACTTTCAGCTGATTCCCTGGTGGCCCGCTGGAATGCGGAGTTAACCAGGGCTATCAACTGTCTGGCTCCGAAGCACCCTCTCCGATTGCATGGAGCCCGGACAACTCCAGGCACGCCTGGAGGATGCGGACCATTTGGATCCCTTTCAATCGGGATTCAGGCCTCATCATGGGACTGAAACTGCCTTGCATATTGATGGACACCCAGCCCAAACCCCCGGACACAGGTTAGAGCTCAACGTCGAACCTACCAAGTGGCGATAGCGACGGCGAAGACTTTCTTCACCGCCTCTATTGAAGAGGCAAGGTACGGCCACACAGGTGAGGCCAATTGGTAACTCACAGCACCTGGTGGCAAGAGCCGGGAAGGGATATAAGGTCAGCATTTCTGTGATGGCCTGGGATTCAGATTCAGATGCTGAACATGAAAAATCCCAGCCTGCACAGGATTCCCCGCCTCCAGAACCAGCTGAGCCGGGGGTGGGGCATGAGCCTGAAGGGTCCTCACCTGTGCTGGATCCTCAGGTGCAGGCACCAGCTGAGTCTGCTCGTGCTTCTGAGGGGGTGGAGGACCCATTGCCTGCAGGTGCTCCACTCTCAGCCCCGTCAGAGGAAGCTGAGGTTGCCTCTGGGTCCGGTAACCCTCCAGCCTCACCTGAGCTGCAGAGGCTCAGGGCAGAGAAGCGGAGGGAACTAAGTTCCCGCAAGAGGAGTGCTCACCTCCAGGCCAGGAGAGGCAAGTCACCTGAGGATCGGGTCCGTCCTGTGCCTCAGGGCAGATGAAAGCCAGCCAGCCCCAGTCCCAAGTTGTGGGAGCAACTTCGTTGGTTGATAGTTCCTGCCTGAACCCTATCCTGCTGGAGCTCCTGACCTCACCCGACTACCTGCCCTGCATCCAGATTCAACTTTTACAGACTGCCTTCATACTGCACCTTCAACTTCGGACTGGACTCGGACCTCACCTCTCGGTTAGCCACGGGACCAGCACAATTTCCCTTCGGCTCTTTGCCACAGCAACACACTTCCTGCCTTTGGCTTCTTGACTTCTTGCTTCCTGGTCCTCGGACCTCAAGCTTCCTGGCTCCCTGCTTGATCCTCGGACCCCTGACTTCTGGACTCTCATTCCTGCTCCCACCCTGCGCCCCGGTCCCGACGTCCTCAGCTGGGACTTTGATCGCCCGTAGACTGGACTGTGACAGTGGTCCTGGAAGTTTCTTGGGGTAGGAACTCTAGGGGTTTGCTATTGCAGGATGTCATCTGGTCCCCCTTGGAGGTATTGCTGATGATTAGGAATTCAAAAACTGACCAGCTGGGTAGAGGGGCTGCTATTTGGCTTCCTGCTACTGGGAGGGAGGGCCCTTGCCCTGTGACAGACACCTCCAGGTACTTGGCCCTTGGACATCCTGGGGATGGTCCACTGTTAATTCATGAGAATGGCATCCCGTTGACAAGGCATCAGTTTGCAAAAGTGATGTGCAGGGTTATTGCAGTGTGTGGCTATCCGGCCACGGATTATGCCCCTCCAGACGTGGAATGCAGTGGGCTGAATTAATCCCAATGGTTCAAAAGCGTGTGTGTTTGGAGGGCCCCCCTATGGCAATTTTGCTGCACCTGGGAGAAAATGATTTGTCTGCCTCAGATTTCTTCACCTTACGTTCCTCAATTCAAAAAGACTTGGTGGAGTTGGCGGCCTTTTTGCCAGATGTAAAAAAAATTTGGTCGCAGCTGCTGCAGAGGCATACGTGGCGTGATAGTTGTTGCTCAGCTGCCACCGAGAAGGCTAGAAAGCGCACTGATAGTGCAGCCGCCAAAAAGGTTATTGCATTGGGCGGGTCTTTGATTTTGCACCCGGATATTACCTTCAAGGCTGTTGCCCTTTATAGGGATGATGGGGTACATCTTTCTCCATTGTGGAATGACACCTGGTTGAAAGCTGTTGTGTTGGGGTTGAAGGTATGGTTGCATATGTGAGTGGTAGGCAGCAAGCTTTGGAGCTTGATTGGCGGTTAGGCATTGGTTTTATGAATTGGTTGGGGCATGGATTGGCTGTGCCTGCCCCTCCAAAGCTGCAAGGGTATTCTGTTTAAGGAATCCAGGGGCTCGCCATGCTCTTGTCTGAACCCCTGTCAAGGGGCTAGGGCCATGCAAGAGCCCCTGGGAGCATTTGGGGAAAGGTGAGGGCCTGGCACCCAGCTCCATTTTCTCCCCAAAATTGTTTTCCCTTTCTGATTTCCGCAGGCGTGCAGATGTTAGTTCTGTCCCTGGGCGAGGACATAGTCGCAACAAATGCCTAAGCAAAACCACTCATTTTTTTGTATTTTTAATAAAGTTGCGGCCAAAATTATGCCAAAAACAAACTAAAATTCTGTGTGAAATGTGTTTATTTGAGGGTGGCTTGGGGACCTCGACACGCAATACTGTCAATACCTCCAATTAAGACAAGTTAATAAAATGGTTGAAGCAAGAACTAAGCAATTTCACACAATTCCCTTAATTCCCATTATATTTTCTTGCTGAAGTAGTTTTACTGTCTGAGATTATTTAAAACAAAAAACAAAAACAAAGAACACTGTGATAGTTTCCTGTGACCTTTTCACAGAGCTAGGAATGTCCGGGGGCATGCAACAACAAACCGTTATGTTCTCTCCCAATTTCTGAGCGGTGAGAGATTTCAGGGGTGAAAGCACATACCCCAGGTTTGGTTTCCATAGAATGAGGGCCACTGATGTCTAACCCCAAATAAACATTCTGGAATTTAAGTGCTATGTAAATTGATTTTATAGCAATAATAATCAGGGCTTTATTCAGCCGGAACTCAAGATGGGCGCCATTGCCATTGTAAGAGACCAAGGGAGGCATTCCTGGTGAGTTTCAGCACCTTGTTTTCTAGAAAAATAGTACTGATAATAATTATTATAATTCTTTGAGAAGGTAAATTTCCAGATATTACCCTGGCTGTGGCAAAATTTCTCTAGGAGGTAATAAGAAATAGAAATCAACACACTCAGGATAAAACATAGTGATTGCCTGGGAATCTTTTCCCTGTATCTCTGCTGCATTTTGCTTTTGAAACTGTTTTTGTGGGTCTTTGGACCGTAATAAAGAATATGTGTATAATTATAATTTGTATTATTATTATTATTCACCCAAATGACTGGATAGGCTACTGCATAGTGTGAAACCTAGCATTCTGTCACAAACATCTGAAATCACCGGAAGCTGTTTTTCTAAAATTACTAATAGTGTTGGCAATTTATTACACTCTATGGCATCCTTTGAAAGCATCATGGTGTAAAGAAAAACTTCACAGGAGCTCTGTGGGATCCAAATCTACACGGGATATCTTTCTTAAATATCATTTTAAAGTACGGAGAACATTGATTTAGAGGCCTCAGCCAAATGATTCTACAGCTGGAGTCTCTCCTTAGAGAGAGATCTTCAACGGTGATTTCCAGTGGCATCTAAAACTGCCACAAGAGTCCTGGCAATTTAATGCCTAGATATGATTACTAGCAAACACCTGGATCAAATGACGCCTTGAATAAAACCAGTAAATAAAGCTTCTTTTGGTGACAAAGAAAATGCTTACAGGTGAAGCTGCCAAGAAATAAATATTGCTGCACATAACTCAAGAGCATGGTAAAAAGATTACTTGGAAGTGTGTTTTATTTGCAGAGCTTGTGAGAAAAATTCCCTTCCCAAACACTTCCATTCCCTACTACTTTATTGCAGGTGACAAGTGTTGAACAAGGGTCACTTAGTCTTTCCATTTATACAGCTTGTGAAATGTACTCACAGAAAGGATTGCATGAATGCTTTATTTTAAAATACTACTAACAAATTAATAAAATGATATAAACAGCTGCTGCTGCTGCTGCTGCGAGTCCTGTGAATACTATTCATTCCCCTCCAATGCCCACACGCCACTGCTTTCCTCCTTGGAAAACTCAAGGATTACAGAGATCTAGGCATCTTTCTTATTATGCCATGTGTGATGGCCTGGGATTCGGATTCAGATGCTGAACCTGAGGAATCCCAGCCTGCACAGGATTCCCCGCCTCCAGAGCCAGCTGAGCCGGGGCTGGGGCTTGAGCCTGAAGGGTCCTCACCTGTGCTGGATCCTCAGGTGCAGGTGCCAGCTGAGTCTGCTCTGGTTCCTGAGGTGATGGAGGACCCATTGCCTGCAGGTGCTCCACTCTCAGCCCCGTCAGGGGAAGCTGGGATTGCCTCTGGGTCTGGTAACCCTCCAGCCTCTCCTGAGCTGCAGAGGCTCAAGGCAGAGAGGCGGAGGGAACTAAGTTCCCGCAGGAGGAGTGCTCGCCTCCAGGCCAGGAGCGGCGAGTCACCAGAGGATCAGGGCCGCCCTATGCCTCGGGGCAGACAAAAGCCTGGGACCAGCACCCCATGTGTGGAATGCTTCTGTTTAGCGCTCCAGCCAGTCAACTATAGCTTTCTTTGAGAAACTCCCTTTCCCCATTGGTTTTACTTTCCTCCTGCACAACGGAAGCTTAGTATTCTGTGGCCATGGAGCATCTTCAGCCCTCCTTGAACTTATTCTCTGGGGTGGTTCCCCCCCCCGGATATTTTTTTCCCCTCCTTCCAACCTTGGGGCACCCTGAGAATGCTGACATCTGTTCCTTTTTAGCAGGCCCATTTAGGCTACATAGCTACTATCACTCCATACTTGAAGTCAGTGCTTTTCCCCCCTTAAAAAATGTTCAGGGGTACTCTCATTTTGACTCAAGAAAATCACCATTTTATAGTTCAAATTGGGAAAAATAAATACAGTATACAGACAAAAGTACAAAGAACATGCATTACTCCGGGAAAGGAAATGAAGCCGCCATAAGAGGCGGTAACAACGAAACCAACCAATCACCGTACTATATTCCAACTCCTACTTCACACGTTAAGTGCTCGCTTCTGTCTGAGACTCAGGAAACGCCATGACAGGAAATGAAGCCACCATCAGAGGTAGCAATGGAACTGCCGATTCAAGAAAAATTAAGTTTCTTCTCCCATTACGATTCACAAAATATTTAGGGGTCTGTGTACCCCCCCAAAAAAGCGCTGCTTGAAGTTATATATTCTAATCTATCTATGGCTCTATTTATGGCTCTGTGTCTATGGATGTATCTATCTGTGATGGATACCTGGGAGAGTATCATTTAGGGTGGCAAACATTGGGTGCAAGAAGGGTTCTATCATCACCTGCACATGCCTAAAAGTCTGACACCCCCACTTTATGCATGATTGGAGCAGCTTTATTAAATCCATCTCTGCCATCACCTTGTTTGACCTCCACTCTGTAAATAAGAAATACATCCAAAATGCAGTAGTTCTTAAAGATAACCAAATATTTTTTCATAAAGGAATTGTTTCTTCTATTCCTTCTTAAAACAATTCATTAGTCTTGCCTCGGCTGGATATTTGTTGTTGATTTTCCCATGGACTAATTAACAGTACACTATCTTCTGAGAATTTCTCATACATGATTCTTGTGGCTATAATCATGAATGCTAGTACCGTATTTTCTGATGTAGAAGACGACTTTTTAACCCAGGGAAATCTTCTCAAAAGTCAGGGGTTGTCATATACACCGGGTGCTGAAACTTCCGAGCTGAACTGGAGAATCTGCAGTCGCCGCATATGGTAGAGGGAGCTCAAAAACGGCGGCGGCCGCATCCCCGCCATATGCAGCGACCATATGAAAGCAGCAAGGGTGGTGCTGTACAAGCACAGTAGAAGAAAATCCACTCACCAGGATTCATGGAAATAAGTGACTTAACGCAGTCCCAATGACGAGGTGAGGGGGCGCCTCACCAGGAAGGTGTAAGTGAAGGGCAGAGCAAGCTGCAGGCGTCTGGGACGCCCGGGGTATGGATAAAAGAGATAGAGCGGCGGTGTGCCCAGAAAAACACGCTTCTTTGACCCATCTGGCCCACCTTTGTATCCTATTACCGTACCTCCTTCTCTGCCTCTTAGATCTCGCTCCTGAGAACTGCAGTGAAGCGGAGCAGGTGCGCATGTGCGAGATCTGAGAGGCAGAGGAGGAGGTTCTAGGATACAAGGGCGGGCCAGACGGGTGAAAGAGGCGTGTTTGCGCTACCACTCTGATGGTCTTGGAGACAGGGAGGGTTGGGCAGGCAGGGAGAGCTGACCAATCCAAGCAGGCTTTGTATACAGCAACCAGCCAATCGCCGGTAAGGTACAATCGCTGGTAAGGTACATATAGTACAGTATACAAATGTCCAACAGTCAAATGTCCAACAATCAAATGTCCAACAGTCAAACCCCCATCATGGCTCCACCAGCAAGAAGAAAGAAATATGAAGCCAGTTTCAAACTTAAAGTTGTAAACATTGCCATGGAACATAATAACTGCGCTGCTGCAAGACAATATGGAGTAACAGAAAAGATGGTTCGGGACTGGAAAGCAAATGAAAAAGGGGTAAGTGTGCATTAAGAAGAGGCACCCCACATTGGCCAGAACTCGAAAAACATGTAGTAGACATGGTGAATGAGCATCGCCAAAACAGTTATGTAGTGACACGAAATAAAATACGTTTGTTTGCATTTCAGTGGGCCAAATTTAACCCAGATCACAGCAACAGATTTAAGGCCACTGTATCCTGCTGTACTAGATTCATGGGAAGGCATTAATATGGTACTGAGGCAAAAGACAAAAATTGCCCCAAAATTATCTGCAGATCTTGATAGCAAAGTAAATAGTTTCCATTGATACGTAATACAACAGCGCACTAAACATGGCTATGCGTTAAGTAGTATTGGAAATATGGATGAAATGCCAATGAATTTTGATATGGTTGGAAATAAAACTGTCCATCAAAAAGGTGAAAAAAAACTATTTTAATTAAAACAACAGGACATGAGAAGTCCAGTTTTACAGTGGTACTAGGATGCACAGCTGATGGCGCCAAACTGAGACCAATTATTATTTTTAAAAGAAAAACAATGCTGAAACTCAAGTTCCCTGTTGGTTGTTTTGTACACGTGAATGAAAAAGGCTGGATGGATGAAGAAGGGGTAAAGCTATGGCTTGATAATGTAGGCACCCAGGTGGACCTATTCAAAAATGTTGTCTACTGGTGTGGGATATGTTCAGGGCTCATTTAACTCCCAGCACCAAGCAAAGGCTTGCAAGACTAAACACAGATGCGGCAGTTATTCCTGCAGGCTTGACACCGTTGGTACAGTCACTGGATGTGTGCCTAAACAAGCTATTTAAAGACATAGCTGTCAACCTTCACTTATTTGGCGGGAAATTCCCTTATTCCAGTGCAGTTTCCCGCTGCTATCCTGTAAATTTCCTGGATTTCAAAAGAAGCAGCTCCTGTCCCTCCCTGCCGGCCAGGGAGGCTCCTCAACTGTGTTGCTCACCAATAAGGAGTCTGAGAACAACTGGGGGGTGGAGTTTGCATGCCTTGTGCCAATCAAATTGGCCGCGTTGCCTGGGGACTTGCCTTTGCTTCAGCACTTCCCAGCGGTGTGGTTTCCTTGCTGCTGTATCCCTTTGCTGGGTTGCTGTGCCGTGGGAACCACCGCTTGAGGCTTCGTTTGGCGGCTGGCTGGGCTTTCTGCCTTTGGCTCGGAACATACCTATGTTTGGAATCGGATGGATACTTCGACAGCCCACTCACCCTTGCCGGGGATAAGGTCTGTCTGGAGCGGGGGCACATGGGGGAAAGAGAAGGAGTGGCTGGTTGAGTACAATGGCAGGCAGCGATCTCGGGGGGGGGGGGGGCTTTTGGATTTGTTTTGGAGGCTCCTTCGATTGACTGTTATGGGGGAAAGGAAAGGAGCTGGTTAACTAAAATGGCAGGTGGTGATCTCATGGCGAGGGGGGGGAGGCTGCCACCGCCTCGTGTGTGTGTGTGGCTAGTTAATGCAAGCTGAGGGGTTTTTTTGAATGCTGGACGCTGTTTTGTTGCACGTGCTGCTGCAAAGCCAGGCCGGGGAGCCATCTTAAGTTGAGGCTGCATAGGCCTTGTGGTGCATGTGATTCAGATTCTTGTCAGTCGAACCTCTGGTTACAAAGTTGACATTTTTTCAGCAATGCCCCCCCTAGTGAGCCTTCTTTTGTTCACTTCTTTTTATTTTGAGGCAGTGCACACTTATGTTTGTGGAACTGCAAGCCTTTCCAGTCATGTGTTACTCCAGTCAAATCCCACGTATGAATGTGGAGGAGGTAGGCTTGCTACAGGAGAACAATCTCTTTGCAAATTGCATGTGTGGCTACTCTGATGTGTTGCTTTTCTTCTTTTTCAAACAGAGAAATATGGATGGAGGTGGAGAAGAAATTCCTTCGTAAAAAGCAAAGAAGTTGTGCAAGTATCTTGAGGAATGGGAAAGCGAATTTAGCTTCACGAAGAAGAGCAGAGTGGGGCATGGTCACACATTCTGCACAATTTGCAGTTGCGGTTTTAGTATCTCCCATGGGGGAAGGACTGATGTCACTCAGCATGAAAAATCAGCCAAGCACAAGCACGGGGTAGAGGCACAGAAACATGGCCCGACGATGTCCGCATTTGTGACTAGGAATAGCAGAGGCTGACTAGGTCATAAATGCAGAGGTTGAAATGGCCGTGCTGTGTGCCAAAAACAACATTTCTTTCACCTTCTGCAACGACTTCAAGTGTGTAGCTGACACGTTCCCGGACTCTGCCATTGCACGAAAATATTCTGCAGGGAAAACCAAAACTACGCAAATCATAAAAGATAAGTTGATTCAAATTAAGGAAACAATGGTACCTCGTGTTAAGAACTGAGGTACCACTGTAATATTGTCAGCTTATTGTTAGCTAACGTTACTGTGCTCTTATTCAACAGGTGCCAAAGCAGCAGAGCTAGATGACAAGTTGGCCAAAACACGCCAATCTCAGCCTTTTTCACTGATGTGTGATGAATCGAACAACAGAAAAGCAGACGAAGAATTCGTCATCATGGCTAGACTCTACGATGAGGCTAATCTGCAGGTTGTTACCAGATTATTGGCGATGCCCATATGCAACGTTGGAAATGCAGAAAATCTTTATGAAAAGCTGAGTGAAGCATTAAGGTAGGGAAGCCGCACTATGTTGTTAACGTGTGCAGTAGTTTGCTCTTAACTATAACCTTACATTTTGTCTGACATTTTGTTGCATTTTTTACTTTTTTCCTATAGAAAAAGAGGCATTCCGTAGGAGAATCTGAGAGCCTTTTAACTCTGATAATGCGAGTGTCATGAAAAGCAAACACAACTCTGCTATCAGCAGACTGAAGACCAGACAGCCCCACGTTCAGGATCTTGGCTGCATCTGCCACCTAGCACAGCTGGCCACCGGCTGTGCCATCAGAGCAGCACAGGTACCTGTTGAAGACATCCTAGTCAGAATATAGACCCACTTTGATAAAGGGTGAATTCATGCACATTATTATTAGACAGGCCTTGCAAACATACACATACATATTCAGCCACTAACAAAATTATTTTCTATACAGTATTACAGTTCAAAAAGATGTGAAATCTGGAATTATGATAGTTAAAAAGGAGAAATATCTGGGAATTTGGCTGACGTCAAAAAATATAAACCTGTTTAAAGATAATTATGAGAGTGTCTGGAAAGAAATTAAGAAAGATTTAGATATATGGAGTAGACTGAAACTGTCATTCTTGGGTAGAATATCGGTGATAAAAATGAACATCTTACCAAGAATGTTATTTTTATTTCAAATCATACTGGTAATTAAAGGGACAAGACAACTGAGAGATTGGCAGAAAACCTTAGCGATAGTTGTCTGGCAGGGGAAGAAACCGAGGATAAAGATGAAGATATTAGTAGATAAAAATGAAAGTGGGGGCTTCGCCTTGCCATACTTGAACTTATATTATGAGGCTACTTGTTTGGTTTGGTTGAAGGAATGGTTGATATTGGAAAACACGGATCTTTCGGACATAGAGGGTGGCACTCGTACCTGTGGTACGATAAAGTGAAGGTACATAAAGGCTTCTTAAATCATGTGTTTAGAAAATCACTATATGAAGCGTAGGATAGAAATAAAAACCTCTTAAGAGAGAAAGACACCTTGGTGGGTCTCACCAATAGATGTATTGACAATTAAGAAAGTTAACATGGAAGGGAAGAGAGTAACATAGGAGGATATTACCAGGAAAACGGAGAAAGGGGTAAAACTCAAACCATATGACCAAATTGAAATGGAGTTAACAGGATGGTTACAATATCATCAGATAAACAATTTATTGAATGAAGATAAAAGGAGAAATGGGTTTGAGGACAAAAAAATCAAAATTCCAAGTTGAGCTAATAGAGTGTAAAGGAAAAACGTTATCTAGAATGTATGACTTATTGCTCGAATGGTACACAAAAGACGAAGAGGTTAAAGAATCGATAAAATGGGCGATAGACATTGGGCATAATATTGAGTTGGAAGAATGGATAAAATTATAGAATGAAGGTCTGAGATTTACTGGATGTATGGTTTTGAAGGAGAATGTATTAAAAATGATGTATAGATGGCATTTGATGCCAACAAAATTGGGGAAAAAATTTATAGAGAGATAGATGTTGGAAATGTAAAGAGGTAGATGGGGATTAGGGACGCGGGTGGCGCTGTGGGTAAAACCTCAGCGCCTAGGACTTGCCAATAGTCAGGTGGGCGGTTCGAATCCCCGCGGTGGGTGAGCTCCCGTCGTTCGGTCCCAGCGCCTGCCAACCTAGCAGTTCGAAAGCACCCCCGGGTGCAAGTAGATAAATAGGGACCGCTTACTAGCGGGAAGGTAAACGGCATTTCTGTGTGCTGCGCTGGCTCGCCAGATGCAGCTTGTCGCGCTGGCCACGTGACCCGGAAGTGTCTTCGGACAGCGCTGGCCCCTGGCCTCTTAAGTGAGATGGGCGCACAACCCCAGAGTCGGACACGACTGGCCCGTACGGGCAGGGGTACCTTTACCTTTTAGATGGGGATTATTTTCATATGTGGTGGGCCTGTGACAAGGTTAAAAGATTCTGGGAATTAATTTATAATGAACTTAAAAAGATGTTTAAGTACACTCTTCCCAAAAGACCAGAAGCATTTCTGTTAGGTCTAGTGGGAACAGATATTAAAATGAAAGATCAGAATTTGTTTATGTATGCCACAGCCGCCGCAAGAACTCTACTGGCTCAAAAATGGAAAACACAACCATTCAGGAGTGGCAGATAAAGATGACAGATTTTGCGGAACTTGCCAAATTGACAGGGAGGATCCGGGACCAAGAGGACTAGAGATACAATAACAATTGGAGTAAATTTATTGAATATTTAAAGGAGAACTACAAAAGTTTAAAGACACTAGCAGGATTGGAATAACACCTTCAGTGTAAAATTTAGGATATGAGAATATGATGTATATACCAGCTGCGGGGAGGGAGGGAAGTCAAGACTCGGCAGAGTCAAAGGGATTATATTGTGATAATAAGGATTGTTGGAAAAAAGCTTATACGAAGAAAACAATAAAAATGTATTGGCAAAAAGATGTGAAATCTACAAGGAGTTTGTAGATTTTACTGATTCAGACCACCTGAAGCTGCTCAGGTACTCCAGTACCCGATGGCCAAGTCTGTTAACCTGCTTCCAGAAAGTGTTGAACCAATGGGCCACACTAAAGGTAAGGATGGTAAGTGCAGCAGATATATACACGCTTTACTATGCTGTTTCCATTTTAATTATGTTCTGCCTACTTTAACAGCCTTGAGGTGGAGAAGAGTGCCAAACTACGTGATCCAACCAGCCATCTGGGTGATCCGGTCGTGAAGATCTACTTCATGTTCCTGGCTGCTGCCCTTAAGCCTTTATCTGAATTTAATACTGCCTTCCAGGTGGGTACCAATGACATTGTATGTATGTGTGAATAATAGTTATAAATAAATAGGATTGTGCTAATTGTAGCATTCCTAATTCCCTGTTTTTTGACATTTTCTGCAGTCAGAGGAAGTGCAAATTCACAGGCTTGAAGAGGAGATGTGCAGGCTGATCAGGAGGATCCTGGGGGGATACCAGCCAGGGCCATCGTGGGTGTACCTCTCAAGGAGGTGGAGTATGGAGAAGGACATCAGCTGGCTGATGAAGACCTCTTTATCGGAGCAGACACAAAGGCGTTCATGAGAAGAAAATCTTTCAGTGAGTCTGTTACCCAGCAGTTATGCAATCATGCTATCATCTCAGTATGAGAGTATAGGCTATGTGCCTAAAATGTTGCCACTAATCAGTTTTTTCAACTCTTATGCTGTTGTAGATCTGTGAGAAGATTCTATGAAGCAGTGCTTCAGAAGATGTTCTCCTCCTTTTCCCTTGACAATCCACTCCTGAGGGACCTGAAAGTGCTGGACCCTATTGCTCGCCTTGACTTTACTCCAGGGGCAGGTAGATGTTTGGGACAGTTTCCCCACTGATAGAATGATTGAGTTAGTGCATAGTTTAGATCAGCAATGTTCAGTCAAACACTTATTTTGCTCTACAGTGGAAAGGCTAGTGGCCCTGCTCTCTCAGTTGAGCTTGAGTGAAGATAAGCTGAGAGAGAAACTCATTGACTACCAGCTGACAGACAGCAAGCAACTCTAGCAAGAAGATAAAATTGACAGATTCTGGGGCCTGCTAGGGAAGGATGTGAGGTTCAGTGAGCTGCCAAGATTAATGAAGGCTTTACTCTGTATTCCCCACAGCAATGCCAGTTCTGAAAGGGTGTTTAGTATGGTGAGAAAGATAATTACAGAGAATAGGATGTCATTAGACAACAGCACTGTTTGTGCTTTGCTTGCATGTGAAATCAACCACTTTGGCCCAGCGCACAAATACACTCCTTCCAAAAGGGTGTTAAAGGGTGCAACTTCTGCAACATATTTGTATAATAAGTCATTAATGGATGCCAGAGAGCCAAAAGAGTGAACCTGATCAATCCCCTCATGAAGAACTGGAGCTTTTGAATTGTGGTGCTGAAGTCCCGTTGACTGCAAGAAGACCAGACAGATCCTGAAGCATCGCATGAGAAGAGCAGACTCCCTGGAAAAGAGACCCTGAGGTGGGGAAAGATGGTGGTGTGTAGCCTGGTGGGGACAACAGAGGACGAGATGGGGACGACAGAGGAAGAGATGGGTGGACAGTGTTCTCGAAGCTACCAGCATGAGTTTGACCAAACTGCGGGAGGCAGTGGAAAACAGGAGTGCCTGGCGTGCTCTGGTCCATGGGGTCACGAAGAGTCGGACATGACTAAATGACTAAACAACAAATACACACACACACACACACACTCTTTTATGTTTACATGTTTGATGACGAACAGCCTTATAAGTGACAGTTTTCCTGCTAAGTACCTGCATGTCATAAGCATTTGAATTAAAATTACCATATTGAAATCAAATCTGATGGTTTTTTTAAAAAAATTATTTGGTGTGCGTTGGAAGAGGGGTAGTCTTATATGGCGAGTATATCCCAAACTCTGTATTTTAACTGGGAAAGTTGGGGGTTGTCTTATACGCCCAGTCGTCTTATACGCCAGAAAATACGGTAGTTCCCTATCTTTCTTTCTTTCCTCTTTAGAATATGAATTGGTAATAGACAAAATTAAGAATCAGTATTTACTTGTTAAACTTTTTAATATGCACCCCTTATTTCTTAACATTGAGATAGGAATTAGGGATGAATATATCACTCTGTTTCCAGTCCTGTGTTACTTTTACCTGCTTGTGCCCATAAGTCAATTTTATCTCATTTCTGAACTGCTCTTCACTATATTATTTTTTTTAAAAAACCTCAAGATGAAAAATTGCATTTAAATATGTAGGGATGGGTAGGAGTCTATTTCCAGTCTCACGTGTATTCATTCAAAGTTTTGTTCCATTCTAGTTCTACATAAATCGGCAATCAATTAAAGGCAATTTCCATTAAAATTTACATTTAAATAAGCATTTAAATACACTGAATGTATTTTCTCCCTAAATATGCATTTAGAAACATGGTTCATCTAAGAACACACATTAAAAACCACACTTTGATACATTTTTTTTAAAGCTGAGAACTGCCTTGTAAAATTTGGAGAAGTGCAAAAACCAAATATCAAAAGGTTTGTATTGAACTAAATCATTGTGGGTGGGGAATGCCTTCTGCAAGTGCCATGGGATTTCTGTTCCCCCACCCCATGCCCCCTAATTGGCTTTGAGGGTTCTTTTCCAACCCTCCAGTGAAGCGGGTGGGGGAGATTTGTTGTGTATGAGGTAGCCATTCTGTGTGCACAATGATTTAGTTGGGCACAACCCTAGGTTCAGACCTGTGCATTAGTGTAGGAAATGTGGATCAGAATTCATAAAGAACAACTTCAACCGTCCAGAATTTAAATACGCATTCTAAGCATATTTACCCATAAAATACCCAATTTCTAAAAGAAATAAATAAATCAGTGGAAGCAAGTTCCAGTGAGCTCATTGGGACTGTCTCACTGGCTGGTAAGTATAGGATTTCATTACATTCCAATACACACATGAGTTATGAAGTTGTGAATTTGATCAATTCATATCAGATGCACAAAGATCAGATTTCCCAAGCATTCCTAAATATGAGGACCACCAAGATGGCTTTTCTAAATAAGGCGCTCAGGATGTTGGAATAAGAAAAGGGAATGACTTCTCCCTGGAACAGATTTACAAGCCTACAGAATTTGCAATGAAGTTATTGACTGCCTCAAAACCTGGTTGAATTTACACGTGGGTTCACAGGGCTTCACCTATAGAATGTCTTTCTCTTCTTTCTCCTGACTATGTGTAGTAAAAAAACATGTGTGGTACAACATAGTTGCATGAAACTTGAAATGATGGATAAATATAAGTGCCTGGTTACTAAATTGCCTCTGCTATATTTTATATGGGTTGCTATCACAATGCATATGGGAAGAATGCTGCTAATCTTGCCAGCATCCTTTCACGTGTTGGTAATAAAAGTGTGAAAAGTTTCTAAGCCACAGAGATAAAAGAGCTTAATATTGCTACAACGCAGAATTTTTACTGACCAATAAGATTCTTGATGTGCTGAATGCCACGGTTTCTATTTTTTGCTACATGACCCAGTCTTTCCAGATATTCTCCAAAGCTCAGCAGTTTTTAAAGTTGCCTTTTCATGAAGCTGGTACATAATATGCTCTCCTATATCCCTTTGTGTAGGAAATTATTCTTTCGAAATGTAAAGATAGAATTCCCCTCCCCAAATTGCTGACTGCATTAGAAAGATGTTCCTTAAAGTATGGCTAATATACTGATGTTTCCTGTCACAGAATTAGTTGTAATAAATGACGTTGCATATGATAGAACTCATCGGTTGAATTTCAAAAGCCACTAATGTTATACTCAGAGTTCTCCACACAAGAACTTCTATTATCCTTTGGGAAGAAATGTGGGATATACATTTAATAGATCACCACCACCCTATTTCTGAAGCCAGATACCAATAGCTCCTCACACCAGCGTGACATAATGGCTAGAGTGGTGGGCTAGGACCCGGGAGACCAGGGTTTGAATCCTCAGTCGGCCACGAAACTTGCAGGGTGACCTCCCCCTCAGACTGGGGGCTGGCAGTCATAATTCCCATTTTTTAAAAAGGGTCTGTTGGGTTGAAATAACCGACAGACGAGTAGCAAGTGTCATGTGGGAGGCATCCCTCGAGCAAGCCTCGAGGAGTCCCTTTTATTGAATATTACAACATTGCCACACGTGTGCTTGTTGCTGATTGGTTAACACAAGTACAAAATAAAGGTGCGCTTGTTGCTGATTGGTTAACACAAGTACAAAGCAAAGGTTACATATAGGCATTAATCACCAATAGATTAAAGGCTGGGAAAGGGAGCACAGAACTAGACAGGCATGAAACCTCCTAATTAAATTATAACTAGTGATTGATTATCAAGACTTAAACTATTACTAATGATTGATCATGACATGAAAGAACATAACAATCGCGTTCCGTAGATGTGGTCAACAATGCGTTAAGAACAGGTCAGGATACTGAACTCAATGTGAACTGATCAGAACATTCTCAGACTCATGTGCAGAGGCAAAAACTTCCCAGCAGGGTCAAAGACCGATCCGGCAAACTACAGACTAATCAGTCTACTTAACACAATTAGCAAGCTCTATGCAAGACACATACACAATAAATTCTTGGATTGGTTGGAGGAAGAGGGCATTATTCTAGCAAAGGAACAAGCTGGTTTTAGGGAAAGTCGATCTACTATCGATCAATGCTTCATTTTACACAATTTGATTGGGAAATATTCCTCTTGTAATACAACCTCATTCTACGCCGCCTTCATAGACTTTAGAGCAACCTTGGACTCCATATCTTGACCCACTTTATGGAAAAAGTTGGAGGCATCCTCGATTGACAGACGACTACTCTGTCTAATACGAATGTTTTGTGAAGGGACTTCTCTTAAAGTAAGATATACTCCTCAGGGCCATCTTATGAGAGCAAATAAAACTGATAAGGGAGTTAAAACAAGGCTGCATACTGGCACCACTTTTGTCTAATTTCTCTATCAACTCTATGGTGGATTTTCTCCGCAATGCTAATTTCCATTCCAGACATTGCTGCCCTGCTCTATGCGGATGATGACACCATTCTTTCAAGAACTCCCATTGGCCTTACGAGAGCGCTGAGAGCCTTATCTCTTTTCTGCAAACAAGATAACCTTGTGCTCAATTACCAGAAACTAAAATTAAGGAATTGGCAAAAAAACTTAGGGGACATTGCTGGACTTTAGATGGACCTAAGACAGAACAAGTTTCCTGCTTTAAATACCTGGGTATAGTTTTTCATGCCTCAGGAAGTAGAAAAGTACATGGGGGCCATGTTTCTAGCAATGCTCAGAGGATCTCATTGGATATACAAAAATTCTTTAGATCCAAAGGAGGCTATTATATACCGGCAGCACAGAAATTATTTGAAGGTCATGGGGACAAGTGGGACTGGAATCTTATACTTCTTTCTTGGAAACCAAGTGTGATGGCCTGGGACTCGGGCTCAGAACCAGAGGAGACTCAGTCTGCACCGGATCCTTTGCCTCAGGCATCATCTGAACCAAGTCTGGGGCCTGATCCTGAAGAGTCCCAGTCTGCCCAGTCTGTTCCCCTGCAACAAACACCAGCTGGGCCAAGTCAGGGGCCTGAGCCTGCCCTGGCTCCAGATGCGGGGATGACCTCGTTGCCTTCAGCTGGGCCATCACTTACAGCTGCTCCACTACTGGTTGGGTCAGGGGAGGCTGAGACGGCCCCTGGGTCTAGTAACCCACCGACTTCTCCCGAGCTGCAGAAACTAAGGTCTGAGAGAAGGAGAGACCCAAGTATTCGCAGGAGGAGTGCTCGCCTTCGGGCTAAACAGGGAGGTGAGTCGCCAGGGGATCAGGACTGGCTGCTTTCCATCATCCAACAAAGATGAAAGGCTGTCGGACCCCGCCCCAGGTTGTGGGAGCAACATTGCTGTATGCTAGATCCTGCCTGAGATCCTGTACCTGTCCTTGCCTGGTTTCCTGCCTCATGTCCTGCCCTGGCCCTCTCGAACTGACTCCCAGAGGAACCTTC